AAAAAAATGTATTCTTTGTGTCAAATCACACCTTTTTTGTGGTTGAAAATGAAGGAAAAGTTATTGATGTGATGGAAAATATTATTTTATTGATGAATGTGTGGTTGAAAATTAGTAGAAAAATGAGAATGAAAAAAAGAATGGTTACCAAACGGTGCCTCAGCTTTCACTATTTACAGTGATAATAATTAATTAAGAAGGTCAACTTCAAAACATGTTCTAATTTGTCGTTTTATAAGTCATAATTTGACTTCTAAACAAGGTCAAATTATTAACAGCGAACCTAATCTTGAAGACAGAAGCCAAAAGTAAGGATGCTAATTGAATAATCGGGTTCTTGTTTGGTTTTTTTTTATGCATCATAAAAATAAGTTGTAAAGCCTAAAATGTCGTTTAAGTTACTTATTTTCGCTTTCATGATTTCTCTATCAAGTGATAAAAATGTTGATTATTTTGAATGCATATTTAGTTAATGTAAATTCATATAATGCCTAGTTTAATTTTGAAAATTAGAATAATATTCGATTTGAAGTTTCGAAAATTAATTAAATTTTAATTGAAATCAAAATCAAAATCAAAATCAGATTAGAGTGGTTTAAAATAAAATTACCATCCCTAGGAAATTGGGGACCGTTGACCAAATTCTTTAGCTGATATTGTGAAAATATTAATGATTCCGGTAAAACTAGGATTAGACATAACTCTCGAACGGAACCCTAATCGAACTGAATCTAATCGAACCGAACGATTATTCATAAGTTAAATAAATACCTGAACGGGTATCTGAATCGAGAACCGACGGATTTGGTTCGGTTCTCGATTCTAGAACCGAATAACCGAATAAGAATCGAATTTAAATAATTTTTTTAATTTTTTATATTGAATTAACTAATATTTTTTAATTTTTTTAAACAAATTAGCAAATTAACTAATTTAATGATTAATGTTTTAACTCTCAAACCAAGTTCATGTCTAACTAACCCAATCCAACCCAACTTCTAAATTCAATTTTTTTGGTTTTATTATTAATTTCATTCTTAGTTCAAAATCTAGGTATTTTTATGTTTTTACCATTCTCTTTCCAATTTCACACTTTCATTCGGTAACCACTGAGCCACTGACCCTAAATCATTTGATAAATTGAAAACCTACATCTACATGTCCAAATCGAAACCGTCGATTGTAGAGTCTGACTTCCTCTCTCCAATGCCCAACGAAGCAGTGACCTCCAACCATGATAATTTATCGTTGACCATTAGAAATCTGTTAAAAATGTAATTATGGTACGGAATCAAACAAAACCGATTCGAACCAAACTGAACTGAACACGAGCGATTCCACAATTATATTTGGACCCGATGGTTCCATTTATTAAATACCTGAAAATTTTGATTTGGTTCGGTTTGATTCTCTTCCGAATTGAATTAGACCATGTCCAGCTCTAGGTAAAACAATAGTTACGACAGAGTAGTAATTTAAAGACAAAAACATGTGCATAATTGTGATTAGGCCATCTTCTTGGTTGTGTTCCGGGCCAAGAAAGCAGTCCGATTTCATTGAGGCAACCAATAGTAGTGACACAATAGGATTTTGCTTCTAGAGAGAAATTATTTTAGAGTAGCACTATTTATCATTATAACGATGGAATATGGACGATCTGACAGTTTAAGTGTATTAATGAGATATGACAATTCAATTTTCATGAGAGAAACGGAAATTGGATTGTCATATATCATTATTCCATTTAAGTTGACACATCACCTATATTTTATCATTATAATATTCATTATTTTATGGAGCAACTTAATGCCACGTGGCCTAATGGGGCCGTTTTGATAGGCCTGAAATGGAACGGTGATTTGTACAAGTTGAGGATAAAATGTGGGAACTAGAAAAAATAAAAAGAATAGTTTTCATATTTTTATTATTTTTAAAATATATTTTTCTCTCTTATTTTCAATTATACATTTTTCAATAAAATAATATTATGCATAAATTCAAAATATTTCTTTAGTTTTTAACCACATATTCTACATCAAATCAGTATTCAGAAATTCATTTTTCGCAAAAAATAATAATAATAGTAATAATAAACATTTCTCAAACATGCATGTTTTTATATTAAAAAAAAAAGAGAATTGTTTCAACATTTATTTAGCCCATATATCTGTCTCTATTTAAAACAAAACTCTTTGATTTCATACTCATTTTTAGTGACACGTTCACACAGTTAAATATTTTGAATATAAACTTAAATTTTTTTTTACTTTTTAACCATACATTTTCCAAAAAATTATTATACAAACCATCAATTTATTTTTTTTCAATAATGACAATCAAATAGGGGTTGAATCGTACCCATTTAAATTTTTAGATAAAATGCTTTAATATAGTTCAAAAAAGGTGCATTTTATGAAAGAACTATAAACTATATGTTTTCATGCACTTCCCATACCAAACCATTCGGTGAGATTCTTCGTTTATCTTGTTTTGAGTACTCGGATGATCAAATTTTAGTTCGTTCATAAATATAAGTATAGTGTTGCATTGATCTCATAAAGGTATTTATTTGAAATACAACTATTTGGAAAATGCTATAAATAATCCCATTGTCACTTGAAAATGTACGTCGATTGTTGTGGGCTAATAAATATTGCCGATTCTAGTGGCTTTCTCTACTATACCATCGGAAACACTAAAACATACGCATGTGTCATTTTCTCTCTACAATTGACCATTCCCTTTCATCTTTACTCACATTTTGGGATTTATTGAGTGAATATTTGTAATAATCGAACTTGAGTTTAGAGAGTTCTTGTGAGGTTTTTTGCAATCTCTTGGGTATTTAGCAGTGCCTGAGCTTTATCCCCTCCGATTGATGCTCAACAAGGACATACTTGTCTTATTTAAATTCTGCACTGATTTTGTGGGACTGTTGGCTGGAAACCTTAGAAATGCGAAAGTGAATTCAATATCAAAACAAGAGAATGACTTTCTTCTTCGTATTTCATTGTTTTATCATCTCATCAAAGTGAACGAACGCACAAAATTATATATTTTAATATTCTTGTTTGCATTTTTCAATAGTTTTTGTGACGAACTGATCTCGTAACAAAATTCAGTTGTTAAAATGAAAGAAGAGAGTTTAAATTTAGTGGTCATGGGAAAAAAACGAAGAACAGGTCCAAATATAAGCTGCCAAGTAGTAATTTTGAAAGAATAAATGTCCACACAAAATACATAACGGGATACATACCAATTTTT